AATAATAAATAAACAATTAAAATTGATTATATTTAATCATACAAATGATAATAATTGTTTATTATGTAATTTTATCATTAAAAAGTTTTAAATTAAATGATAATCAAAATTCAATCATAAAATTAATTAATAATATTTGTTAATATTTCTTATTTTCATGGTTATGAGTGATTTAATAATAAATATAACATGAGTATATTAAATTTACAATATTATAATATAACCAATACTCAATTTTAATATTCAATAAAATATTAAATTTATATTTGATATATTCTAATTAAAATACACTTGAAATATGTATTATATGAATAAAATAAAATAGATATATCACAATGAACAGATATAAATATGAAAATAATAAGGATATAAAGATAAATAAAAGAATAAATTTAATAAAAAAAATTAATGAAAATATTGATATTTAATTTATTTACACAATCAGATGAATATTATAATAATACAATAATAGAAAATGAAATATAATAATTAATAGAATTGTTGAATATGAATAAAATCAACTAATGAAAAATAAAAAAATAAAATCATAATGAATATAAATTAAATATGAATAAAATATAGAATAAATAAAGTATAATATAAAATATGAAACAAATATTATAGAATAATAAAAATGAATAATGGAGAAGTTATTTATTGTGAATAGTATAAAATTATTAGTGAAATAAAAACAGAAAATTGTATATTGAAGAGAAAAAAGAAAAAATTGAAAAGAAATAAAGAATTTGAAAAAATGAAATAAAAATAGAAATAGTTATGATTGTTTGTGTTATTTCATTAGTTGTTGGTTGTATATTTGGTTATTTTTCTTAATCTTTTGTGTATATTAAGAAAGTATAATGAAAAATTAAAAAATAAAAACAGATAATATTTGTAATATTGATTAAATAAATATGAATTAAATGATGATATAATCAATATTTGATTATTGAAATTTATTTTATAATTACAAAATGATTTATATTTTAATTTGAATGATAAATTAAAATGATAATACATATTCATTTTGTTAATTTCATTTTTTAATCATGTTATAAATTAATTAATATAAAAAGATAATAGAATATGATAAATAATAATGAATTTATTTGTTAATATATGATACAAATGAAATAAAATATTTATCATATTGTTTCCATGAGATTTATTAAATTATTTTATATGTTATTTCTTATAATTATTACATTTCTTTATTATTTTCTTTTTATTTTAATTTATCAAATTATTCTGTTTCTTTATTATTCATTTCATTATTGTTAATATTAGAATATTACTTATTCATATTAGTTATTTTATTTTTATGAATCAATGTAATTATGAATAGATATTTATTTTATATATGAATATCTTATTTATTGTAATATTATTATTCAATATTTTTTATTATTTTTAATTAGACATATTATTTTAAATATATTCTTTATTTATTCTTATTTTAGTTATTATGTACAATCATTATTTTTATTATTAGTTTCTTTTGTTTTTTATCTATATATTTTCATGTTAGTGTATTTTATTACATACACATTGTGTTGTAAATATAAGTATTTATTCTACTATTATGTGTTGTATTATTATCATTTATTATGTTAATTTATTTATATCTATTTATATTGAATATTATTTGTATTTTATATTTATTCATTTAATTTGTTTGTTTCTTCTTTATTTATTTGATTTATTTATTATTTAAATAGTTCTTTATTTCATAACAAATTAAAAAATAAATGTATATTAAATAAAGAGATTGATAAGAAGAATAAACAAATAAAAGAATAAATAATTAAATTAATCTAATCAATATAATTAAAAGAAGAGAACAAGAATAGAATTAATGAAAATAATTAATATGTTAAAATTATTATTCATTAGAATCTAATGAATTAATAATAAATTATTATTTATATCATATACATTCATTTATTGATAATATTTCATGAAATAATGTGATTGATTATTGAATAAATGAGTATTTAAATATGATTTAGAATATATTCATTATAATTGAACATTTTATAATTTATTCATGTATTTTAATTACAAAACAATATGTTGAATATACTAATATATTATAAATACAATAAATAATATATTTGAATTAAAAATCAATTAATATAACAGATACAAAATATTGATAATATTAATTAATTGAATAAATATTTAGAATAATATGTTTTAAAGATATAATCAAGAATATATTATATTTATTATTTTTAAGTGATTATTGTGAGAAAGAAGATAATAATAAAGAGTTATATAAAATAAATATAAAAATATTGATTTTTATTATTTAAATTCATAAATTAATAATAATAATAATTCAATAAGAGATTATCAATTTATTTTATGTGATAATGAAGATATTTCAATCATAATGAACAATTAATTTATTTTAAATATTTCATTTATTTATATTAAATATTGATAATAATAAGAATATATTTGAAATTAACAAATAGTATTGATTTTATGTTATAAATCAAAATGAAATAAATAATAATGAGAATATAATAATTAAAATAATTAATGAAGAAAATCACATTTTATTATTCAACATGAAGATGTGAATTTGATATGAAATAATAAATAGAATTTAATTGTTAATTTTCATTTAAAAATAAATAATATTTTGTATATAATTTTATAAAAATTCTATTTTATGATAAACTTAAAATAAATAACAGAAATTTGATTGAAAACAACAAATAATATAAATTAATCATCATTTTTATTTTACATTAATTTTATATTTTCATTCATTAAAAATGAATAAGAGAACAACAAATTTAAACAAACAAATAAATCATATGAAGAAAGAAAAAAGAGAAATAAGAATATTGTTATAAACATAATGAATATAAATAAGAAATGAAAAAGAAGAGATGAATAATAAGTATGAAATAATAAAATAATAAATATTAATATATTTTTCAATCAATAATGTAAATACAATAATAAAAGAATAATCAAATATTTTTAATGAGTTAAAATTCATAAATATTAAATATATTAATTATCAATCAATTCTAACATTAAATATCATATATTTTAATTAATTAAATAATCAGAAAAATGATAAAGATGATAATGAAAATAGAAATGATAACAATAAATAATGAAATATAAAGTGAATATGAAAGAATGAATACAATAAATATATTTAAACAATGATATTTTTAAATTCAAAAACAATAGAATGATACTGAAAAATAAAGAAGAATAAATAGAAATTGAAAATATAGAGTTTAAAAAGAACAAAGAAAATAAAACAAGAGATAAAGTCAAATAAACAAAAATAAAAATTAATTATAATAATAGAAAAAGAATAAAGATAGAAATATAAATGAAATTGAAAGAATAGAAACACAAAAGATAATAATTTTATGTATAACAATCTTATTATAATTTTATAACAAAGAAAATTGAAATGATAAAACAAGAAAAAGGTATTAACAATAAAATTAAAAGAATAAACAAGAAAGAAAATACAATAAAATACGAAATAAGTCAAATAATTTTATCTATTTTTAATTTGAAGAAAATTCAATTCAAGAAAACCGATAAAAATAAATAAAGAATAATTAAATTATTTTGAAATTTTACATTGATGAAAACATAATTAACGATAAAAAAACATCTTGAAATATAAAAATAAAACAAAATAAAATATGAAAACGAATGATGTTTACAATAAAAAAACATTTCAAAAGAGTCAACCAATTAGAAAAGAAGTAATATTTTTAAATAAATAACATATTTTCTGAATTATCAATATTTAAACTACAAAATAAACTTATTATTCATCAAATGTCAAATATAAAAGTAAGATTCTTTGTGAATGGACAATCATTATCAGTCAAACCAATGACTTCACAAGACAATTTGAAAACAGCAAGAGAGAAGTTAAAAGAAAAGATATCTGATTCTCAACAATTTCTTACAAAAGAAGGAGATTTAATTGATATAAGTGATGAAGATTCATTTACTATAGGAGATATAATTAATGAATCAAGAATAATAAATATCAAAGAAACAACAGATAAAACGGAAGTAAGAATAAAATTAAATGATGAAATAATTAGCACTGTTCAAGTGGATAAGAAAAAAAAGTTAAGTGAAATCAGAAAATCAAATCAAAATATTCCAAAATCTGCACGATTCTATACACCTGAGAATGATATAATTGAAAAAGAAGATGAAGAATCATTTTTATTAGAAGATATAATAAATAATGATGAAATTATTCTTAAAAATGAGAAAGAAAAAACATCCGAAAAAAATGAGAAAGAAAACATACTTGAAAATGATATTGTAACGGTTGGAATATGTTTAAATGGAAAACCATTAATAAAAAAACAATTCAGTAAGAACATTTCTCTTTCAGATATAAGAAAGGAACTTGAAAATGTAAAAAATATTCCAAAAGACTTTGTATTTGAAGATCAAGACAGATTTAAAGTACTAACGGATGACGAAAAAACATTAAAATTATCATCTATTCTGTATGACAACAAGATCACTATAACAATGGAAATGTCTGACACTTCTCTAAACGATATTACATTATCTGATTGTTCACCATGTAATACTACAGTACCTGTTGGTTCACCATGTAATATTGCAACACCTAATACTTCTTTAAATAATATTACAGATGTACCTGAACAAAATGTTCCAATTAAAGGAAGTAAAAGATTGAAAAATCATGAAAAAGGAAAATTGAAAATATATTTATATCCAAATGAACGGTTTAATACTATAGATGAGAGTGAGGCAATTGCTATTTTAGTTGTTGGACAAACAGGAAGTGGTAAAACAACACTATTAAATAGTTTTGTAAATGCATTATATGGAATCAAGATAACAGATGATTTTAGATATATAATTATAAATGAAGATAATTTAGAACAGAGTAAAGATCAATCTAAAAGTCAAACAAGTGAAGTATCGATTTATTATATTAAAAGAACAAAAAGAACACCACCAATAAAAATAATAGATACACCTGGATTTGGAGATTCAAGAGGAATTGCTTTTGATATTGAAATAACTAGACAAATAAAAGAAGCATTTGAAACAAAAGTATTAGATTTAAATGCTATTTGTTTTGTTGCACAATCAAGTAATGCAAGATTAACAGCAAATCAAAAATATATATTTGGGAATATTATTGATTTATTTGGTAAAAATGTGAAAGAGAATTTTATTGCTATGCTTACATTCTGTGATGGACAAGACCCACAAATTATTAATGCACTACAATCCAACGAATGTATTTTCAGTTCAATTATTCCATACATAGATAAACCATGGTATTTAAAATTTAATAATTCAGCTATTTATGCTGATAATACTGAAGATGAATTTACACAGATGTTTTGGAAATTAGGTATGAAGAGTTTTGATGACTTTATTAAAAAATTAATAAACCTACCAAGAAAATCATTAGATAATTCCAAAGAAGTTTTAAAGAGAAGAGAACGTATCAGTGTTGAAATTGAAGGATTGAGAGAATCGTTAAATAATGGTTTATCAAAAATGGAAGAGATAAAACAGACATATGAAATATTTTATTTGAACCGAGATAAGGTTAATAATAATCAAAATTTTACCTATACTGTAAATGTAACAGTACAGAAAAAGAATGAATTAGAACCAGGAAAATATGTAACTAATTGTTTGAAATGTAATAAAACATGTCATTATCCATGTCATATTAAAGGAGATATAAAAAAAGGTTGTGCTTGTATTGGTGCTAAGGAATGTTGTGAGGTGTGTGGGTGTCATTATACAGAACACGCAAACTCAACATATAGATGGGAGTATGTAACAGAAGCAAGACAAAAAACAGCACAAGAAGAACTTCAAAGATATAATGAAGGTAAAAAGGGTATGGCTAGTGCAGAAAATCTGTTAAAAAAGTTAGAAGAAGAATATACTAAAATTCAAATGGATTGTTATGATAAACAACAAGAAATTATAGAATGTATTAACAGATTATCAGAAATTGCATTAAATGATAAAATTAATAGTTCTAATGAATATTTAGATTTATTAATTGAAACAGAAAAAGAAGAAAAGAAAACTGGATATCAAGAACGAATAAAAGGATATAACCAACTTAAACAAGCGAATGATATAATTGAAGATATTATGAAGAGTTCAATAACAAAAAAGAGCAAACAAGAGATCAGGGCAGAATTTGAAAGAAAAATGAGTGAATTAAAACAAGGAGAAAAATCAACATTAGGTAAATTCATTCAAAAAGTGGGAAATATGTTTTTCTGGTAAAAACATATAATTAAATGAAAGTTTTAATTAATTATTTAAAAATTATTATTTAATTAAGTAATAAACATGATATATAATGTTCATTATTTTCTAATGTGAAATTTGTTTATTTTTTATTACTAATTAATTTCTATATGTATATTTGAATATAATATAATAAATGAATCAAATGAATTATCATATTGTTAAATATAATGTTTTAATGTCAATATCAATATTAATTTCAATTTTTAAATGATTTAATTAATATTTTTCTCTTATTGTTTGATATATCATTCTTTATATTTGTTTTATAATTCTTTTTTTATTCTTTATTTCTTTTTTTATTATCTTTTATTTTATATCTTTTATTTTATATCTTTTATTATTTATTATTTATTTTATCTTATTTATCTTCTTATTTATTTTATTTATATTTTATATTTATTCATTCTTCATTCATCATTTTGTTTTAATTTATATTAAAAATATTTAGAAATGAGAGAATATAATGATGAATTTGATTTTATATTTTGATTATTTCATTAATCAAATTGTTGATTAATGATTATTGTTGTTAATTTTCATATTTCATTTTACTTTATTATTATTATTTTATTGATGATTTCATTATATTGATTGTTTATGATACAAATAAATAATTCTTATTGATTAATATCATCTGATTCATTCATTAAATGTTAAATTATTTCATTTATTTGTATTTATATTGTATATTATTACATATTGATATATTCAATAATTAAAATGATAAATATAATAATAAAGAAAGAAAATATATAAAATAATATATCAGAATAATAAATAATATAATCATATAATGAAAATAAGATAAAGAATATAAAGAATAATATTATTAAAATAATAAATAAGAGATAAAATGAATAATAATGAAATCAAAATAATAAATAAATAATAATAACAAATATAAATGATTAATATTGAATTAATATATTAATCTATATAAAATATCTCTAAATCAATAATAATAAAATAACATCATAATGACAATAAATAATATTTCATATTCTATCTTATTCATTTTATTTTAAAATAAATAAATAATAAAAATCAATTATAATTATTCAATTATAATTTATATATTCATTCATTATTTATAATAATATATAAATATTTATGTAAATTCAATTTGAATAATAAGTTAGAAAGAAGTTAAATAAGAATATAAATATTAATAATATAATATGAACAAACAACATGAATTTAATTGAAATAAATAATGTAATTTCTATTTTATTTCTTTTATTTTGTTATTTTGTTATCATTATTATATTCGTTATTAATTTATTTTGATTATTAACTACTCTTTATATTAATTTATATTATTGTTTCATTATAATATCAAATAGAATATTTAATTTAAATAAACAAATTAATGATATTTACCTGTTGTTAATTAAATTATTATAGAAATAGAATATAGAATATCATTATAGATAA